GGGCTAACAAAATCTATAAGATTTTACATGCCTATCATTGTGTTTGAAAAAAGTGGAGGATATGCTTCTTTTTAACCATTTTATTATAAATTCGTAAGTCAATGAGAGTTCTAGTTCGTCGACAATTGTGTTGTATAGGCAAGATATACAGACAGCATAGGTTTCCGCTTACGTTTCTTATGAAAAGTTGACTCCAAGTCAACTTTTCATAAGAATCGTTTGCAACGCAACGTATGCGAGTTCATCCAAAAAAAAGTCACTAAAACGCGGTTTCCTGTCAAATAGTGGAAAATCGACGTATCACATGAAAAATTAATACGTCGGTTTCCTGTCCAAAACTGTTTTGCGACGATTTTAGTTTACGTTACGTCGATTTCAAAACGCACCAGTCGTAATCGGTTTCCTGTCAAATCGCATTTTCTTACGATAAAACGACGAAATCGTAAGTAAATCTGCCTTCTTACGTCGACAGGAAACCAGGCTTTACCTGTATGTTTGAAACTCGAGCGTTGCGGTGTTTGGGTGTAATGTATACGATTTTAATTTTCATTCCTTGGTACTTTATTTTTGAATAAGATGCTTCACTTGGCCTCGTTTTGGCTACAATAGTTTAATAATTTGTTATTACCATTACTCATTATCATTAATGAAATAATAGTCAGAGGGCTTATTAATAGGTAATAATATGTATGCTAAGCCTGAAGGTGGCGCTTTACTACGACGGCCATCTTGGATGGTACACATACATAACTCTGCATTGTTGCGCCATCTTGTCAGCACTCTAGTTGTTTAATAGCTCTATGATGAAAACGCAACAAAAAGAATAGCATGAAGCACATTAAATTCCATTGTTTCAATTACAAGATCATGTTGCAATCATGAATATATCACCGTAAAGGGAAGAAAGAATAAGAAAGATATTTTGTTATTGGAAAGATAGCAAAACAATAATAATTAGGCCTATGATAAACCGATTCACGAACTAAAATATATAGGGCATAGGCATATTACATTTTTCGTTTTCGCAACTCCTTCGGCGCTCCATATATTTTTTCGAAATAAACCACGACCGAAACGAAGCGCGACCGAAATGATCGGCTACCGGCCTGGGCCTACCGAATTCGATCCAACTCGGCCACAAGTCAACTCGGCCACAAGTCAACTCGGCCACAAGTTAACTCGGCCACAAGTCAACTCGGCCACAATTATTATTTTGCTGTTATTATTGGTGTCATTGTTATTATTATTGTTGTTTTTATTACCGTTAGTTTTAATATTAATTATTAGTCTTAGCATTAACATTATGTATTGTTTAGATTTTTGCTGTTATTATTATTGTTACCATATAAATAATAAAAAATAATAGATTTTTTTATTCATATTATTATACTGTATATTAATCTTAGTATTATTATTTTAATAATTCACTACTGTAGTAATTTTAAAAATATTGTTATTGGTGTTTTATTGGTATTTTTCTCATATTATTGTTGTTGTTGTTGTTGTTGTTGTTGTTGTTGTTGTTGCTGCTGCTGCTGCTGCTGCTGCTGTTGTTGTTGTCACCTTTATTATCGAAGTAGGCCTAGTATTATAAGTATCATAATTATTGTTATTATTACTAATTAGTATTACTATTATTATAAAAATAAACGTTATCTTTAATTTATTATTGCTGTTATTATTGCTATTATCACCTTCAATGTTATTATCACTAATTAGTATAATTAAAATACTGTAGATATTTAAATGTCGTTATTTTACCATATTATTACTATTAGTATTGTTAAAATAAATATTACTATTAATATTGTTGTTGTTATCACCTTTATTATCGTTATTATGACTAATTAGTATTATTAAATAAATATTTGAAAAGGACCGACATGTCACTGGTGATTCACGTCATTGGATGCATCCTTGTCACTGACGGGTTTCAAACATAGCCCCCAATGGTCGAACAAATATGAAGGACTGAAGTCTCACTCAACAATACCAATTGTTCCTATTGTGGATAAATTGATACTAGAGCACCCCACCTAATTTTAACGTAGGCCTAATTCTGGGGCGTGGTTTTGAAGAAAATAGTATCGAAATGCACGCCATCGTGCATTCATTTGATTTTAGTCGGATTCAAAATAAATTGTTAACATTAAAAAAAAATCATAATGTGTTTTTCTATTTCAATTTTTTATGATTAGGTCAGTATGTATTCATGTTTTAGGTCAGTGTTTTAACGTGAACAAAATTAAACAATAATATATGTGTTTTTCTTAATTAATATTAAGATTGCTTAAATTGTTAATGTTACAATTGTCAGATTTTATTCCATTCTGTAAGTGGCGGGTTTTCTCTGTTGAAAAAGAGTACAGTGTGAAGAAATGTATAGGCCTACAACGATCTCACGACGATGAGACGATGATCAGAATTTTACTAAAATATACTGTGTACTTCATTTTAATCATATTGAAGAAAAAGGATGCAGAAACTGGAATATTTACATTTCATTTTAATTATAAATAACTTGTGGCCGAGTTGACTTGTGGCCGAGTTAACTTGTAGCCGAGTTTACTTGTGGCCGAGTTGACTGCAGCCAAACTTTTTGTGGCCGAGTTGATTTGTGGCCGAGTTGACTTGTGGCCGAGTTGACCTGCTTTCGGCCTACCCTAGGCCCTAGTCTAAAAAAGATTTTTTCGGAAAATCTGTGTGGAAATTGGCCCTTATTTTTCCAATTGCGCGGACGGTTTTTATGGTATTTTTTTTGTTTGGGTGGAGGCTTCTAACTAGGCCTAGCCAATTCATAGTCTGGGGTCTACCTTCCTAGGCTAAGCTTATAGCCTAGGCTAGGCCTAGTCTAGCGAGGTCTAGGCCTATATATATCATCTATATGCCTAGGATAGCCCTTCTTTGCCTATCTAGGCTAGGCCATCTTTGGCTAGGCCTATGCTGTAGGGAGGGTTAGGGTGGTACTAAAATAATACTAATAGACTAAGGCCTATTGCCATGTTTGGCCTATTTTAGCCTAGTTAGTTGGTGGGTGTATACCCAGGGGAATTCCATTTTAACCAAATAAAAAAAAAATATCCTTTTAAATCTGACATCAGCATGCCCTATTTAAAGTTGTATGGATATATTTTAACATTGCATGCATAATTTAAAGCGTATCTTTGATATTTTTTTTCTGAAAGTATCTGTAGACTAGAAGTCAACTGAGCCATTAAAATCATACCCTGGGCTTCTATTTGGGGAAATAGATGTCTGAGTTATGATAATTGGGCCTAGTCCTTTTATTATGTTCTATAAAATCATTAGTTTAATAAAAAAAAATGCATTTCTGTTATTTTCAGGTGTACATGTGGAAACTGCGTCGTGGAAGAGATGTGGGGAAATCGTTCCTGTTGTCAAGAAGTAAGAACCATTTGGTTAAAATACAAATTAAGGCCATGTAAAATAAAATAATTGGTTAGCATCCCCTCCCAACCATCAGAGAGGCCACTGATTTGAATGATTTATTTTTTTTTTTTACAAAACTCCATTAAATATATAGGTCTATTTACCACCCATCCGCATGTTAGCCAGATCACTTGCAGTTCTATGCTCTACTGTTCTATACTATTGTAGCTACATGGCATCCATGATGCCTGTTGTGTTGGAGTAAATTGTGCAATTTAGAGAAATTGCATTATGACTGTTATTCATAGGCAAAGTTTCTGCTTGGTTTAGATGAATTACATAATTTCTTGTATGCAATTTTGGTCTAATGGTTTTCCTTGTGACACTATTTTTTCATGTTTGATGTGAGAGAAAAAAAATCTTCCTCCCTACCATGAAAATAAGATTTGAAGCAGAATTCTTGTCCTCATGTTATCTAAAACTTCATAACGGAGGGTCGTACCACCTTATTTTTTTCTGGAAAATGTTCTCAAAAGACTATTCTACACCAATATATGATTGGAAAAAAAATTGAAAAATGTTTTTGACCTCTGAAATCAAGATGGAAAAAGAAAAAACTATCTAAGTAGTGTATTAAAATAGGCCTAAGCATTACAGTGCAGTAGCATAGTACTTTCGTATTGTTACTGTTCCAGGTATCGATAATATGAGATTTCTCTTATTATAAAGTACAAGTATCAATAAGTGTAGTATAAATCATGTTTTTAACACAGGAAACTCTCATATGGTAAATAAAGCAATGCTAGTCTAGAGTACTACTAGTACTACTGCACTGTGGAAAAGGCGTGTATTACATTACCTGTGTTGTATTGCAGATTAAATATTTTTCATGAATTCATGTTCCATCTTTTTTTAACAGATTGAAAAGGTTATGCAAAAAAACAATGAAGAGCCATACCACAATGGAGCATTACCACACATCCTTGGTTTGAACCAGCCATCTTAAATCCTGCAACACTACAAATTTCATTTTGGCAGTATGTTTCACAATACTAGTAGCCTGTGACCGAAGGGGGAGTCGAAAGGTAAAGAATACATAGATGAATTATTTTTGTACTTCTCTACTCAAACATATAAGTATTTCCCTGTTTGCAATTTCTGCAGGTATTATTCTCCCAAAGACGACTGAAGCAACTCAATCAAAACGTTGAGAGTTTCTTAACTACAACAGTTCTTTTCAAAACTGCCTATGTGGCGTACCGCAAACATCAACATATATTTTTGTTCTATTAGGCATACATTAGTTAATATTTTGGGTGGTACCTTACTTTTTCGTCGTGTGTGCACTTACATGCAAGTCTTGCAAAATACCCCACTGCTTACAAGTGGAATTGACCAATAAAATATTTTATTAAATCTGATTACTATTTATGAGGTGTACTTATGCTTTAATTCCTGTTTTCTCTTCCCCTCACACACAAAAAAAATCTATATTAATATTGCTTCACAATTTTTTTTTTTTTTTTTCAGGCGTTACAGGTATTCAGCCTATCGGAAATTTGTACGTTGGTGCTGGGGTTATCTTGGCAAAGACAGGCGAGTGGTGATGTCGTGTAATGAAGTCCATACATGAGACATTTCCTGAACCCAGTGCCAACTACACAGGGTTTAAATATCCTCCCCAGACAGGTGAATTTTAGCTTCTCCTTTGACCAGAGGCTCCTCATGCTGTAGCTATGTTAATGTATTGCCAGTATGAATTACTATGTCTGTGTTAAATTTTATCTATTAAAATTGTATATTTTAACAATAATTTATTTTTGGTTAATTACAATGCAATTCAACTATATATATAGAATTCCCTGGAATTGAGGTGTTTTTTGTTCATAAATAGGCCTATACAATCTGCATATCATTCACTATGGTTATAAAATAGACTGTGAAGCATAATTCCAATAGCTTATGAATTACAGAGCAAACAATACAGTGTAAGATGTAAAATTGTATGATTCAATTTTCCTGATGATACTAGGCACCTATTTATTAACAAAATTAAGGCATTACACTATACCAGGTTTTGTGTGCTTCGTAATAGCATATTTATTTTAGTAATACAGTATGTCCAACAACCTTAAAAACAATATGCATGTCTTTTTTTTTTTCTTTTTTTTAAATGTAAATAGTATTACTACTGTACTATATACTGTATAATTGCAATTCAATTAAAATCATTTACAATTTGATTAATGAAATACTTGTTTGATTACTATTGCAGTATTCATGCTACAAGAGACTCTCATGATATGCCTGTATTATTTAACACTGACGAACTCTTATTATTTTTTCACAAAATGGGACAACTTTTGCTAAGTACTGAAACAAAGTGAAGACACTTTTCACTAATTTACAGTTAGATTATGATTGCAGTATTCATGCTAAAGCATGCTTTATTTTATCATTAAATGTAAAGATTAGTACATGTAATAATAAATATAATTGTTATCCAATTTAATTTGTTTAAAAAATGATTAATGGTAATTGCTTGTTTATTGCAATAACAGTATTATCATTTCAAAAAACCCTTATATATGAATTATCTTAGTAAATAACATAATTGGTTATATAAAATTATTTTCCATGATTTTTTTCTACACAAATTCAACACATCAGAATGCAATTTAGTCACCAGAAACTACCTTTTGTTCTCTTTCCAAAAAAGATATAGAAACATTTAATAAGTGGGTAGAATTTGTTAATACAATGTGGAAGATGTTGTTTGGAAACATGTCACAAGACATTAGTAGGTATTTAACTATGCAAGATAACAAGAACTACCTCATAAGAAATGTTTAAAGTACAATCAGGTACAAACCAAAAGCTTTTTCAAATATTGAAGCCTAGGTTAAGGATAAAGGCCTGTTTATACTTCAAGGATAACGATCTTATAACGTTTATAGCACAGTAATATACTGCTGTACAATAACAATTTTCTGTAAATGTGTGTGAAATTAAGAACAAAATAGAGCAATGCTGGAATCGGCAAAAAATAATAACAGTGAGCCTGGGCATAATTTGAATGGTTCTTATAAAAAAAAGTGTAACATGGTCATGTTACTGTATGGCTATACAGTATTTAATTTCTGTTGAATCGGCTGAGTAAACTGGACACGACTAATTTTTGTCTGGTTTCGGTAATTTCCGAGCAATTGTTCCCGGCTCGCACATTATTTCAGCAGTGTAAAAAACTCTTTCATATTACTTTTTGTCATGTACAAAGCCATTTCAATTATGTTCGCAGCGTATTCTGCAAAGACAGACAACATTCGCATTTTATAAAACATGAAATGCCTGACCCAAATGCTGGTATATACTGTATTAACTTACATGGTGGAAATTAAGCTTATAAATGCATTGAAATACCTCAACAAGTATAAAATGTAAATGGGTAAAGGAGAAATTATCTTTGTGAAAATTTATCTTAACTCGAGAAGATGTGGACGAATTATTTTTGTGAAATGTTATCTTACCTTGAGAAGTTTTTTTTATATTTTTGTTTGGTTTTTTTTTTTTTTTTTTTTTTTGGGTTTTTTTTTTTGTTTGGGTTGTTTGGGAAGGGACAACCACAAAGAGTATGGAAGGTATCCAGGGACTGAGAAGGAATTAAAAAAAAAAAAGGCAGAAATATGAAGTATATAAAGCGATGGGCTGCTTAGCCGCGACAGAGGTACGCCCCGAGTAGCTTCATATGGCGAATTAGGTTGGATACCCCTAACGGTTTCCCAAACCATATCGAGAGTTAAATTTTTCGATCGTATAATCAATATGAATGAAGAAAGATGGCCAAATGTAATGATGAAATCAATGATGACACACTTGATTTTAAATCTAAGCAATTACGATACCAATTTCTTAAGTATGTCAAAAATACATTTTAAAAATATGAAAAAACAAATGTGTTTAATAATATTGTTAAAAATCCAACCAGTGATCATTCAGGTTGGTTTGCTTCCTTCAAACATGAGAAAACAAATTTTAGTGGGGCCAATCTAAATGAATGGTTGCACGATATAGATTTTATTTACTTGTACTGCATTAACAACTATTCGAGAAATCACCTTGAAAGGCTATACATGTGATCATGTTTGATGATGAGTAATTATTTTGTTCTACTGTATTTGGGAAAAGCACAAAGAGTGTGCAGTGTTTGCGAAGTATTTATAATCGTCTGCGGAAGAGGTGGTCTAATTAGAGAAAATGTTTGGGAATGATTTTCGCATAGTCATAGTGTTGCGGAAATTTATGTGGGAAGAGGTAAGGAAAGCAGTAAGGAGAGACGGCAGAATGTTTTGGAAGTATCACGTTTACAACCATTTTGGGGAACGGCGAAAATGAGGCAGAAGTATGAAGTATATAAAGCGATGGGCTGCTTAGCCGCGACAGAGGAGAGTAGCTCAGCGTATTGTCGATGTGTGGTCATGTTGAAGCTCTTTTGGGTAAGCCAGCTTGTATCATCTGTAGTCAGGGGCGATTTCTTTTTAAGGTCCATTTTTGGGGGGTGAGCATGGACTATGTGATGGTCGATAATTTGAAAGTGTATTATCTGTTGATTTCATATAAGCCTATATAATGTATATTTCGTATCAGTAGATAAATATATTTATATATTTCATATTAGTAGAGAAAGTATATTTATATGGCATATCCACCTGACTGATGTGCAGTACTTAGATTATCGATGGTTCTATTTTATTATCGTTGGTATAGTTCGCATAACTCAATCAACACTGCAAACGACTACCGCAAGCCGAATTGGTTTCTACACTGATATATTTATTGCCAAACCACGCGCGCTCCGCGCTTCAGCCTCATACATACCAATACGCCACAACTCTCCCCTTTCTAACATGAAACCATGATTTTATATTTTGGATCAATTAACTATCCTACATTTAACCAAAATATAACACTGTCATGAACTATCATCAATACAGTTGGCAATATTGTGTTGTCTTAATGATGTATTGGGGGGTTTTTTTGAGTGTGTGATATTCTAATTTTTATGGGGTTTTAATAATACCAAACATTTGTTTTAAGGGAGCACAGTCAAGTTGCATTAAAACTAATCATTTATAAACTTTCTAGTATTTATTATTTTTGGGACTGTATTTAACGTAACACTAATGGTAACAATATTTAACTGGTGCTTTTCGCACTCTTGATGATCTACGTAGTTCGCCACTGTGTGTTTCGTTACTACCTGTACTTACATCATTCTGTCTAAGATAAAAATACTGATTTATTTACAAAGAATAACAATCAGATTTTACCCTTATACGGACGGAAATTTTCGTTAATAGCGGATAACAAACCGTTAATAACAATATTTAGACCGACAACAGGTCTTCCAGTTTTAGCCGCAGAAAGTGTACAAGGATGGCCTATGTACTTATCGGGATTCGATTTCCAAATAAAATTCCTGAACAGGAGGGCTAATGCTAATGCTGATTGTTTGTCTGTCGTATCTATTAGTCCGAAATGAGGAAACCAGAAATCCAAAGTTGTCAGGTACTTTGTCAGAGGGATGGCCTTGCAAAGTACCCGAGACAGAGGGAGCACTCAAACACTTTTATCAGGAGACAGGAACTGACCATAGAAAGAAGCAGTTTACTGTGGGGACTAAGAATCATAATTCCTCCCAAAAAATCGAAACAAAGTACTTAATGAACTTAGTAAACACATGGGCATTGAAGGCAGTAGCTAGGTGGTATATGTGGTGGCCGGGAAAGGATGCAGTGGTGTATCTAGGAGGTGCACGTTGGAGCACGCCCCTATAAGAGACAGCCCCCCAAATACTCACACCCCCAGTTTCCCCCAAAAAAATCATGATAAAGTAGTTAAAAATCACCATATTTTGCGAATTAGTGCCTTTCAACTGATCATCGACCCCCCACCCCACTTCACCTTCGCACTCCCTTTATACTCCTGGTGCGCCACTGAATTAATGAACAGATCGAGCGCATGGTGAGATTAATAGGTCCATGGTGAGATCATGTGACTCATGCCAAGTAAACAGAAACGATCCTACAAGCCCCCTCCCCCAACCATCCATGACTACCCGCTTGTCAATGAGCGAATACATATTAATTTCGCGAGACCAGTCAATGGTCTAATGTACCTAGTCGTCGTGGTTGGGTTTTCCAAATGGCCGGAAACCTTTACCATTCTTCAACAACTTCAAAAAAGACCATTACGGTTTTACGCACCAGAACTAGTTGAACAACTAGCAAAAACGTTACAAATGATGATATCTGGCTGACATCCAAAGAAACGTCCTGTCTAATGTAAAAATACAAAGAATAACAATCACATATTACACGAATTGAAAACCAGATTAAATTATTTGATCAAATGTGAAATCGCTCAAATGCGTAGGCCTACACTATCGCAAGCGCTTCTCTTTCCATTTGAGGATATTTTAACGAACGCGAAGCAAATTTTATTGGTCGTTCCTCGTCCTGGGCTTTCAACATGCGATAACACCGCCCGATCGTACCTTCAGGCGATGGGTCTGCCTCATTTGGAATGAAGGTCGCCCTCGAATTACAGCTATGGGCGTAGCCTAAATTTTTCAATAAACTCCTATATGACTTAAATAGAACTCATTGAAGCAACATTATTTCCTTGGTATTATACTCCAGTAGAATTGCATTTTGATGGTAAACAGGTAACAAGCCCATAAGGGACACATATGGTGCCCATATGCAGATCTATATGGGTACCATATGTGCAATCCTTGAGGAAACCTCCGGATTCTGCACCCAAGTTCCATGTGGGACCCATATGATTTAGCCCACATAGCCCAGATTTAACCCATTTGGGGCCCACATGGAACCCACATTAATTTGTATGTGGGTGGCATATAGGTTTCCCA